GCAAATCCCCTCAGCCCTGGGTAGACCATGGTGAGGCATGATGGGAGCTGTAGTCCCACTATCTCTGAGTAGCCCACCCGCTGTACGGTTGGAAACGGGAAGGCTTTTGCCTCAACCGTTTTATCACGTAATGTAACCTTTTCAGGCTAATAAAGTTGTTTCCGTGTGAGCTCTTGTAGATTGCAGCACTCTTTCACAGACACAGCTGGGCCACAGGGTTACACAAAACTGATGTGCTGTAGGGGAGGACATTGATAATTGCATATTAATAAGTGTTGATGAGCTTCTGAGGTGACAATGGCATTATTAATGCATATAATGAAGACTCCTTAGCGACCTTGGAATAAAACTTCCTGCTGCTGGGATTGCAAACTGATCCTTTTCATGTAGCTGCAACTTTCCACATATCTCCTTTCTGGATGCTTTTTTAACAGATATTTTGAAAAGTTCTGCCTGTAGCTGTCTGAGATGTGGGGATCCTCAGGAGACTGCAGTATCTGACTTGTGTTACTGACTCATGGTACAATCCAGGCTGAAGATATACTGGCCCAAGCAGGTCTGAGATGTGCAGACGAATCCTGAGCCACCATAAGTACCTTTGTGGTAGCAGAACCTCCTTTGAGGTGTATGAGTTCAGCTTGATCTGTTCACACAGTTGCTGTGCTGACTGAGATCAGCAGGCAGAACAACAACAACCAAAATCAGGGCAGAAAAGAAGAGAAGCAAGATAGGAGCTGATTTCCTCCATATCCAAGCCACTCTCAGCCTAGTCATATAGCCACAATGTAAGCACAATATCAAGCCAGGCATCAGGGTTGACCTTAGTAACATCCTAGGCTGGAAGGGTTTTGTATTTTGCAGTCTCAACTAGATTCCTGTCAGTTTCTGCCATCTTCACTAGTCAGGATTGCATTTTAGGTTAAAAACCTAGTCGTATCTATTCATAGATAAATGCTTCTAGAGAGCAGTGGCTCCCAGATACCAGAACAATCCCACTGAAGTTAAGAGAGTGAGGAGATTCTTGGATCTAAAACTTGAAATCTTTAACACCTGCTGCTGGCCTGCCGTAACCAGAGCAAAAGAAATGGGGAGCAAAGCTGGGTTTTCCTTTCTACCGTGCTGTAGAATAGTAAAATAAAAATATGAAGTTCATTTCCATGCAAATAACGAATGAGGGAAAAATAACATTAAAATAGCTAAAACACTAATAACAGTTGAAGGTGCATTTAGCTCACTATTTCGTCTGTTGCAGGGATGAACTGGTTAGTTCTTTTTTCCAGCATTCACATAACATTATTGCTGCAGTGAACCAGCCCATCCCCAGAGCACTCCTGCGTGTACATTTCTAGGTTCTTGTCAAGAGCTTTTATTTTTTGATGTGGATTGTATCACTTCATTTTGGTTTGTTTCCAGCACATGCAGTACCTGGAAATGAGCTAAAGTGAGCATTGCCCTTTGAATTTCCCATATTGTGAAGTGGCTTAAGACAGCCACTTAAGGGTACAGTGGTGCCTCGTTTTATGACCATAATCCATTCCGGAAGATAGACGTAACTAGAAATGGTCGTAAGTCGAAGCACCATTTCCCATAGGAGTGCACTGAAATGCAATTAATCTTTTCTGGCTGAAGAAAAAAATCAGCAAAAAAATCACTACAAGACTCATTGGAAATGTGATTAATCCCTTCTGGCCGAAGGGGGGGGGGAGGAAAAGCAATCAAGTGTGCAAGACCCATTGGAAATGCACAGAAAACAAATGAAACCGATCAGAAATCCACAGAGAACAAAGGGGGCAGGTCAGAAATGCAAAGAAAATAAAGGAAAAAGCAAGGGACCCATTGGAAATGGGAGGAAAACCCAAAAAGCAACCAGATTGCCCAAGACCCATCAGAAATTGGGGGGAAAGCCAAAAAACCAACAAACGCCCCCATGACCTATCAGAAATGGGGAGGGAGGGAAAAAACAAAAAACAAACCCTCCAAGACCCATCACAGTACAAAAACATAACTCCCCCAGCTCAAACCCACGCTGCAAAAACACCCAAAACAGTTTTTTAAAAGCAGAAAACAGCACCTTGCCTTACCAGGCAGCCCGAAGCCTCCCTGCAAATACACACACAGTTCCAGAAACAGGAGGAGGCAGTCCCAAGCCTCGGATGACGATGTACACTCTCTAACCGCTGGGGTGAAAGAGCTACAAAGAAGCAGCCTCATCGCCACCTACAGTTAGAAATTTGAATTTCCTTCCTTTTTTTTCCTGCCCTTTTCTGTTCGTAAGTGGAAGCTCTGGCCACAAGTAGAAGCAAAATTTTGTGGCCAGAGCTGGTCGTACCTCGAAATGGTCGTAAGTAGAGACATTTGTAAGTCGAGGAACCACTGTATTGGCAGTGAAGATGTAGTGCCTTACGTATATAAAAAGTAAAAAACTTCCTCTGAGAAGCAGGTGTGGACAGCTTGGTGCAACGAGGGCTTTTCTTTTCTTCTTTTTATTTTCATGGCATGTTTTACAGCTCAGGTTGAGAGCTTGCCTCTAGCCAAATCCACTGCCAGCTACATAAACCATGTAACACTATCAGTCACAACCATATTTTGTTTAAAAGTTTCATATCCCACCACTACCCCACACAACATTACTAGGTTACATTGGTCTTGTGGAAGCCTTTAGGGACAGTAGAATGGGGGGAGAGTCTTAAATGTCCAGAAATTACTGGTGATAGTCCTAGCAGTCATAGTAGGACCAGTGGCTCCAATTTTCAGACATTGCTTGAGGACCAACAGGAGCCTAAAGGAGTCTAGGAACATTGAGGCAGGGAATAGGAAACTTTATTAACAAAATGTAGCTGTGGCAGATGACATTATCAGGCTTACATGGTACAACTTGACATTATTGGATTTCAGCCAATAAATTTAATTGCTTTCCAAAAAGTTGCTAGTCTGAACATTGTAGCGACATATGTATTAAGATTTGTTTTGATCTGTACTCTCTTGAAAATAAATCTGATAAGCTTTCATTTAAGATGGTGTTCTGTGACAGATCTCAAGTGTCCTTTGTGTATTACTTTCATTGTATCTTCTACTTTTATGTAAGTAATCTTTATCAGAGTCAGACATCAGACTCCATCCCATACAAGGTCTGTTGTAAAAATATGTAAATCTGTTTCCCAAGATATTCTGAGCCCAGATGCTTTAACATATATGCAATTACTAATCAACCAACCATTTGTAAATTGTTGATGTTAAATCTTTAATTCATAACAAGGGAGAGAAACAGATGTTTTTAAAACTTCTGGGTATTGATTGTAACCTAGCAATGAAATATTGATTCCCGACAGATGTTCTTAGACTAAAACACCCAGATGCCTTCACCACTAGCTGTGCTGGCCAGGATTTCTGCAAGTTGCAGTCCAAGAATATCTGGGGATCAAAGATTGGGAGTCATTGCTTTACAGCCATGTGGGCAATATGGGGTTGAGATTATTGGACATCAGTTGCTTGTCTTTTAGGAAAATGTTTTCAATATGGAAAATACCCTTTTCTTTCTATCCTTTAAACTCTCAGCACTTCTAAACCGGATGATTTAAAATAACAAAGAGGGAGACAGAATTAAAAGTTCAGCCCATGGCTTCCGAGATCTTAGAGCTTTTTTAATAAAAAGGAATGGCAATTCAGCTTAGGTCTATTTCATGGGATTTCTTTATGTGGCAAATCTGAGTTTATAGTCCCATAGAGCCCCACAAAATGATTGTATCATCACATCTCAGATACGAATTTACTTTGTTTCTCATACTGCATAATGCTATCAGATGTTGGATACTTCGGAACTTCCTTTAATTTCGCATCCACTGAGCATGGATGTGTCAGGGAGATGATTAACTATGCCAGCTCCAGAGGTGGTATAATTTTTCTTGCACTTTGGATGTGTTTCATGGAAATGGGGAGGGGCTTTGGATAATATGGATACATAAAATGAAAGTTCTATCTGATCCATGATTGCTGTTCCATACATGCCAGTTTTCACCTGTTATCTAGCTCATGCAGGTTTGAATTGGCTCCATAGAAAAACAGAATTGCTTCACAGATCATGATGTTTTGTTTTGTTTTTCACATAAGTGTATGTGGATATGGGAGAGAGGAAGTGTCAGAGTAATTATTTGAATCACATTGATACACTCTAAGCTTTGCAAGAGAAATTATGTAGGAGACGTTTTCTTAACAGGGAAACAGTATAACATTCTCATGGTTAGTTCTGCTAATCAGTCTCATGACAAATTGCCCTCTTCCTAATTTTTTGTATTTGCTATGGATCATGCAAATGAAGAAGGGAAAGGAAGTTGCTGACATTCAAGCAGCTGATTTCTAGATGTTGCGATTCTGCAACTCAGCAAAGTTCACTGTCGAGTCAAATTCGTCTTCAAATATAGCCCGTTTAAAGGTAGTTAAAATTTTCATAGCTCTTTCTCACATATGAGAAAAAAACTGATTTCACAGCTATGTTATTGCTTCTGTTAATTATCAAATGGCATAATATTTCTAGGATCCCTAAGATTCTGTTGTTCTGTAGAAGATGTCAGTT